CTGATAAGTCCCTTCCAACTCAAGATATTCTATGATTCTACCTAATCATTTTGGTTAGTTGGCAAATGCAACTCCTCAGTAACCACAATTTCATCCCATACAAGCAGAAACAGGACAGTTATTCATCAACCAGACTACTGAGAAAAGGTGGGAAGTACACAGAAAAATACTTGAGATTTCAAGGGGCTGTGAAATGAAGGATGTGTGTGAAAACATAACAAGTAACAGACACTAGATTTAAGAAAAAAAAAAAAAAAAAGAAATATGGCAGATTACATCCCTGAGCCATTCCTGGAAAAGCACATGATAGGCAAGAGTTTGTACTATTTCAAGAGAAGCAAATGTACATGCAAGTCATGCATACACCAGGTTTGATTTTTAAAGCCAGTGAAGTAATAATTCCTGTTTACACCAGCTTTGCTAATCTCACATTTGGGAGCAGTGAGCAGTTTTCTTTCATTTGACTATAAAAGAAGCAGCAACACTGACAAATTACAAAGAATGTATAAATAACAAAAACAATAGATTGTATGATCTCTGAAGAAAGATTAATGCAACTTATTATGTGTGTCTTAGATAAAAGACAGTAAATGGGAAATCTCTTAATTATCTTTGTACACTAATCCACAGAGGGAATACTGGATCCTTACGTTACAGTCTAAAACAGAGTACTTTTACCACAGGTTAGCATCTCTTGCTGTTAATTACCTAGATTATACCAACATCTACATTCAACTTGTTGAAACTAGAAGCTATTATTAATTAAAAATTAATAAGCTCTTACAGTATACTTTAAACTCAGGCACCATTTGCTGTGTTTCTTCCCATAATATATTCTGGCATTGAAACAAGCCATTTTACAGATTTCTAGCTTAACATTTTACTGGTTGAAAAAAATTGAAATATATGGCAATTTTATCTATCTAAAATCTTGTGTTGCCTTCATGAGCACCAAAACATGCAAAATCCAAGAATTTCAGATTACTTCACTGACTTCATTCCTGCTAGGACCAGACACATCATGTGGTTTAGCACTGAGATATGATGGAGACAAAAGTTCCTTCAGCACCTATTACACACTTAAGTGGCCACCCTTGTCTTATGGAGGCAGCTTCCCCACTCTATTAAGAGCCCAAAGTTACCAGTCCTATACCACTTCATTCTGACCAACTACCCTTCCAGCTGTGGTGAAACTCTCCTCTTCATGTCAAAAAATAATTTTAAAATTCCCCACACTACTTTTAAAAAGGAATTTGTGTGCATTTGTCTTCTCCTTTTTCTCTTTAGGTATCATACTGCTTCTCCATGCAGGCATACTCTGTGTTTACTTTCTGGTCAGCTGCTCCCTCACTGCATGGATGGCAGCGATTAGGCCATGTAGTTATCTCCCCCTGTCACAGAATTACTGAATCAATTGGGTTGGAAGAGGCCCCCGAGATCACCAAGTTCAACCTATGACCTAAAACCACCAAGTCATCTAGACCACGGCACTAAGTGCCAGGTTTCCTTAAACACCTCCAAGGGAAGTGACTCCACCACCTCCCTGGGCAGCCCATTCCAGTTTCTAGCCACCCCTTCTGTGAAGAAATTGTTCCTCATGGCCAACCTAAACCTCCCCTGGCACAGCTTAAAACTGTGTTCTCCTAGTCGTGCCCATTCACATCCAATTGACATTTCTCAGCCTGCTCCTGGTGGCAAATAACAACACACAAGAAGTGAAGCACCCCAGAGTACACACCTAAAAAATAAAATAAAATAGTATCGCTAGTTCAGCTCCTATCCTGCTTTCCGTGGTGTTGTGATCGGACAACTGGCTGAAGCCGTGTAAGTGTGTTAACAGCGCAGGGACCGAGCAGCGCCGGAGGACCCTCAGGGGAGAGGAGCACAACCCGTGCCCAGCCCCGCCCGCTTTGTCTGTTCCAGCACTGTTCCTCCCGTCCTCCCTGCTCCATCCCATCCCTACCCCTTCCCACTCCTTGGGCGTCCACGCTCTCTACCGACAGGGGTAGCTCCCTTCCCCAGGGGGGCAGTTCCCTTCCCCGGGGAGCAGCTCCCGCCGAGGCCCAGGGATAGCGGCGGGCAGATACGGGCGGGACTGCCCGCTGCTGCCGCTGCCTTCCGCGTCCCCTCCCCGCCGGCAGCACCG